TTAGCTGGGTACTAAGAGGATACATTTAAATTTCATTTATTACTTTCTGTGCAGCTACAGTTATGTTTGGCTGACACAAAATCCTAATCCACATCAACTGACACTGACGCTTCCAGTTCTCCTTTTAATTCTACAAACAGTGACTATAATAATAATGTATCTTCTTTCATTTTTAAATATTCATTCTTAATGTTCATTTCCTGTAAACGTGTAATTGTTCAGTTTGATTGTGCCCACATAGTTACATCTTGACTGTACTTTCTGATAGTAGTTTAAAAGGTGAGACTCTGACAAAGAAGCATGTTGCTCCATCAGATTATCAGTCCTGAAGTTTGTGTAGAAGAAGCATAACTCCATACAGTGAAGACTAAAAGAAAAACCTAATTGTGGAACAGTATACTGACATGTTTATGCGCTTTAGTTTTAGAGGACTCTATGGAGCTGAGTTTTGATGAGGACGCCTACTATGAGCGGCTGGGGACGCGGCCGGCACTGGACACCGAGGCTCTGGGCAGCTCGTACCGGAGAATGGTGGAGCTCTTCTACCTCTGCACGGAGGAGGACCCCAAGAAAAGACCAACAGCCGCCCAGATCGTCCAGGCTTTAGAGAGCAACGCCTCCCTGGACAAAACGCCCTCTGAGGTGATCGTTATCGACTGAGTTATTCTGCTCGCTGTGTCAGAGGTGCAGCTTAGAAATGTGTAATGAAACTTCATAAATGTCGGGCTAATAGATTTTTTTTTTAAGGGGTTAATGATTATAGAACAGATGGACATAATGAGTCCCCTGATTCATATCTATTTTTTCTGCACGGGTTAATAAACAAACTAACACTGAGCATAAACATAGTTAATGGTCAAAGTGGATTTAAAGATAAACATACTACAGACTCACTTGCTCAAATGCCTTTCCAGTTTGTGCTGACCTCTTTATATCGCTATTTGTCTGTTATCTTTCCTATTGTGTTACAGTCGTGTTTTATATTGTAAATGTTTTTACTTTCATCCACTGTTTATATGTATTTGTCATTTTAATCTCATTCAACTTGTAACCTGTAAAATGTTTGTTTATAGTTTTTTTTTTTTTTTGAATATCAATAAATTGGACAATGATCCCAGACCCCTTTCCCACATTCACGCACTTTCTCAAGCTAGAAATATGTTTGTTATGTATCAGTGGTAATAGCCTATCAGTAAAACACAGTAGGACTTAAATAATTGTTTAACTTTAAAAATCTGATCAGCTACTTATGACTGAAATTATTTGAGACTAAGCTGAAACTTACAGCGTTTAGCTACATCTTTGCCAGCAGGTAAAGTTCACCTTCCTTGTACAGTACTCAGTGTACAAGCAACTTAAGGGACATTTAAGAAGAATTGCTTTCGACTGCTGCTTCCAACAGACAAATATAGATTTTAAAATATCTTTTAAAAAAACAAAACAAAGGATGGTTTATTGTTATGAATACATGGTGCATTTATAAATTGTGCCAGTACTTGCAGTTCTGCTTTTACACTGATGTAGCTCTCATGCTCCCTGAAAGCCTGAAGAGAAGACAGCACAGATTCAACAATAAATTCAACATCAATCACAGGTTATTTCCACAAATGACTCACAAATAGGAAATTTATACTTGGGTCCATCGTAATTGCAATTCACTAGTTTTTGAAACAGAACACGTGGCAGCAAACTCTTGAACTAACTAAATGGATGTGAGGGAACGTTCAAAGGACAAATGTTTCTTTTCCTCCAGAGAGAGAGAGGGAAAAAACCAGAAAGCCACCGCATTTTATTCATTCCTGTAGCTTGACACAAACATGAAACAGCAGGGAATGACCACAGATTAATTAAATAATACCATTAACAAGCATGAATGCTGGCAATGGCATCGGGCGCATTCATGCTGATTTGATAAGTCCAAATCAGCTGTAAGAAGTTAGTCTTTTTCTGAGTTTTGGGGGAAGAAAAATAATGTTTTACAGAAAAGCGATTGCTGGTTAGTTTGACTCGCATCAAAAACTGCTGAACTATTTTACTTGAGTTTGTGTCTGGGTTGCTTTGTCTTCATTTCCAGTCCCCGGTTTCAAATGTAAAGAAAAACCTGTCACGTTTCAGCATCATATGGTTTGGAAAAACCAGACAATGACAGACAAATGCTACTACAGTTATTTACCAAAAACAGTATTAAAATTGAAATTTGCTTTTAGAAAAAAAAAAGAAGGTAATTTTACATACAGCCTGCCATGCTCCTTTACAGTTCAAGCTGCACTGGCACTGCTGCACTCTATTTCCTCTATTGCAGAAGAACTGTTGGTATGCACACTTTGAGACATTTTGACAAAAAGACCAAGACTCAAAAAACAAACTTAACGTGTTTATTAGATGCATTTACAAAGCCTCAAAACAACAAAAGGATCCACCTTTTCTATAAACATCTCCAGAAAATGTCAAGCCCGGAGCACAAAGACATTCTGCTCAGATGAGCATGTAGCAAAGAGGTTTCTAGTTTTCTGTCCTTAATTTGAACATGAAGACAAATACTTCAAACTGAAAGCAAACTGAGAAACGTCTTCAGTCAGGATTCAAGTTCCTTATAAAGAAAAAAAAAATTGGACACATGAAAGCATTGCCATTAAACAAAAACATTCAACAGTGAAGAAAGCAGTCCTGAATATAAATACTGATTCATGAGCTTTTAAAACCATATTCGGGAACACAACAGGGAGGTTCAGCGTTCTGATTCGACCTCCAAACTCCTCAAACCGCAGTCTGAGCAACTGTGTGATAAAACAAGCCTGATCAACAAAGGCTTAACCCACAGGACCAAAAGGATCAATGCCAGCATCGTGGCTGGTTTTAATGCTGTGGCTGATCACTGTATACAGCCAAGATTTAAATGGAGACAAAACTCAGCCTGGCCTAATCAGCATGGAAAAACCTGAACACTTGTTGCTTTGCATATGAAGAGACAATTTTAAACCAACTGCCATTTCAGAGGAACAGGGACAAATTTTGAATTCCTTCCAAACTCATGCAACAAAGTTGTAAACAAGGAAGGTTGGTGTGTTGCAGTACTTGGTGGCAAACAGTTTGCCGTCAGGTGTCGGATCAGAGAAGGCGATTTCTTCCTTGGTTAGGGGACTGCCGTACATGAATGTACTCCTAAGACAAAAAGGGAAAAGAAACTGAAGCCATCAGCCATTTTAGATCTGGTCAAACACTTTATGTGAGCTTGTTTCCAGTTTTACCACCTGCTGTTGACCATAGTGTTTACTATTCAAATATTATTTAGAGGGTCCACAAGTTCATGTGTGTGAGGAGTTTACTCAATAACCAGCTGACTGAGACATCATACATTGCAAAAAATATTAAAAAACACATTTGATCTCAATGGGTGGAAAACAAATGTGCTGACACCTATACTGACATGGAATGGATAATGTGTTAGGAATGAAAAAGATGCCATATTGATCCAGAGGGCTGAATTCAAAGACACCCTAAAAATCAAAGTAATAAAAATGATTTCGTAGTTCTTGCTTATACTGGGGTCATACTGACAGTCATCACAGCCGTGTTAATATAAACAACTTTTATATGACTACAATGAAAACAAAATTCTTCAATTCTATGAAGAAACAAGTAAGGAGACCGCGAGATTCATGTTGTGTGCATCATCCTACCTCACTGTGTCCAGCATGCGGGTGGCAATGCCCTGTCGCCTGGCCAGGCTGAAGACCCAGATCCGACTGATTCCACACAGAGCTTGTTCTGGGACAGTGGAGCAACACCAGGCTCTGTGTCTCTCCATGAAGTCGTCCTTTGTCATGTCCTTGTGTCGATCTGGCTGTTCAAGGACTCTGTAAGCCTGAAGAGAATCTATGCATAAGTTACGGCACCTATAAGATCCATGTGGCATCAACTGAAACCTCAAAACGAAACCATCGTTTTGAAGACCAAGAGGATAATTAAAGGCTAATCTCCAAAGCAAATCTGATGTTTAAAAGCTTTACATGTTAGCTGCAGCGTTACTATGTTTCAACAAACAGATTTCCTGAACAAATATTTATATTTTCAGAGACACTAACACAGCCGTACCTGTCGTATGGGTTCAGCGACGAGGCATCCTACCACCAGTCGCTCTGTGTTGATGAACAGGTAGGTTTTAGCCTGAGTTGGTCTGCTCAGAGCCACCTGCTGGAACCCCAGCTCATTGTCCGCTACACGCCGCACATCCTCTGCCTGAAAGCAAACACACAAAAATGATTACAAATTAAATGCAACACTTTTAAGTAAACGCTAACTTGTGTACGAGGCTGTCTGTCTATACTTCTGTCTGTTTAAAAGTGAAAGCACTTCACAACAAATAAGCATGGAGAAAAATCAGAAATAAGCAGAAGTGCTTCAGTGTGCTGGCTCAAACCTTTTTGATGGCGTACTTGGGATCATCTGGCATGACCAGGAGGATTTTTCCATCCCAGAACTCAGCCACCACCCGTTCCTTCTTCCAGCCCTGAGAAAACACAACAGAGGAAAGGAGCTGCAGTTACAAGCCAACAATTACAACAACCTCATCCCACGAAGTATACTCCTGCCAGCAGCTTTAACAGCTTCCCTGATCCCCACCCCCCCCCACATGGACTATACTTGGGTGGGCTGCTCAGGTACACTAAAGTCCACCCAACTATGTTTGGCAGCTAATGCTGCATAATTTTTTCATTATGTTTTTAAAGCACTAGTCACACTTCAGTACTTCATAAACTCATGTCTTCTGTCCAGAGAGACTGAATGGTAAATGGCCTGTATTTGTATAGTGCAGGGGTCGGCAACCTGCGGCTCTTTAGTCCTTATAGTGCGGCTCCGCGTGGTTTGGGGAAATAAATTAGAAGTATTTAGCTAAAGTGTATTTTATTTATGTTAGTTCTTTTTAAACTTGTACTTCTAAATTGGAAGATTATTGTGATATCGAAATATAAAAATAAAATTATATTTCATTATTTTTTCATCGCTCAAAATAGGTGTCACACTCACAGAAGCCGGTGTACCCGCCGAAACACCGTGCATTTATTGAGACTTTCAACCCCAGGTAGGCCAGTTATGGATCTTCGGATCCACATTATGTCAGCAGCTATTCTCCACCGTGAACTATGTTATAAACAAACACCGCTCACGCCTCACAGATGACAGCTTACAGTCCTGCGTAAAGATGAAAGTGACTTTGTACAGCCCCGATTTACAGACGCTGTGCACAGAGGTTCAGGAGCAGAAGTCCCACTGTGAACATACCACAGCAGTTTGCATGAATGCGCATTTCAGCATCTCTTTATTGACCACTTTTCACACACGGTTGCTGTACGCATACAGCCGGCTGTAGCTTTTCAGCTCACAGCCCGACACAACAGCATAGATAGCACAGACGTTAAGGCGGTGAGGCGTGATTGCGGGTGCCGCTCAGGTGCGTCCGCCTCCCCTGCAGCGGCGCTGCAGACCACGCCCCACCACAAACATTAACCAGGTAAAATACATATTTAGGCAGAATTTTGCAAATATCTATTTTTCATTTTTAGGAGCATAGTGCTTTTTTTCAAATTATTTTTTAAAAGTCAGGTCAAGGCTCCAAAAGCCCAAAGGAGATATAAGGGTGGCGGCTCACAACAGTTTTTGTTTGCTACATGGATCATTTTAGTTCAGCTGGGTGTCTTTCCTTTTGTTATATTTCGTTAAGAGTTCAAAATGTGTTAATTACATAAATAAAATGTAATTTTCTCTGTAGCACTTCATGGATTTCATAAGCAACACACCTTAGTTGTTCACACAAAGCATAAAGGTAAAAAACAATATATACAGTGTTATCTTCATTTTAAATGTCAAAAAGTATTTGCGGCTCCCAGTGGGGTTTTTTGCGTGGAAACTAGGTCCAAATGGCTCTTTGGGTCTTAAAGGTTGCTGACCCCTGGTATAGTGCTTTACTTAGTCCCTAAGGACCCCAAAGCGCTTTACACTACATTCAGTCATTCACACATTGGTGGTGGCAAGCTACATTGTAGCCACAGCTGCCCCCCTGGGGTGCACTGACAGAGGCGAGGCTGCCGGACACTGGTGCCACCGGGCCCTCTGACCACCACCAGTAGGCAACGGGTGAAGTGTCTTGCCCAAGGACACAACGACTGAAGGGAGAGAAGGATGTTTACCACAAATTTGATGGAATCAAGGAAGCGCTGGTGGAACTGGGTGTGCTGGAAATTGTCCTCTGGGTTGTCTGCGCTGTACACCATTCCACATGAGCTGCAGGTCGTTGCACCAAACTGTTTCTGACCAGCATCCTGATGTGAGAGTAAAAAAAAATAAATACAAAAATTCATTCAGTAAAGAAACAAAAGCAATGAAATCAAATAAAATGTATCGCAAAAAAACAAACCCCCAAAGCAAGATTTTTGTGGGTTGAATATTTGAACAAGTTTCAATCAAAGATATCTGCATCAGGCTGGGTGAGTATGGGGTGAGGATCAGAATAGAAAAAAATAAATAAATATATCAAAGCATACATGCAAACAGATAAATTTAACTTACAATGATGAGCTGGTCATCATCCTGCTTCTCTTTCTTCCTGCGAATGCTTCGCTCTTTAACGGCTGAAGCTGGAGTCTGTAGCGATGCTGTCGGACCAGAAGGGGTGCTGCAGGACACAGGAGGTCGCAGAGCTGCGCTCTTTGACCTGCAGATGTTTCAAAAGAATGCTTCAGGGTTGTTTCAGTTACTGAAATTCAGTAATTGTTCTTCTAAAAACTAAACACACTGCATTTATTGTACAGAAATGCCATCTTTAAGTGTTGAACTCTAAACAAACCATCTTACCTTTTAGAGGCAGAACCAAATATGGGATAGACTGCTGTGGGCTCTGGAGGAGAAAAAAAAACAAAAAAAAACGTCAACATTAACAAATGGAAGGACGACTGTGTAAAACTGAACATCTCCAGGATTTATTTAGGCCACTCTATGCCTGAGTTGAGGGATCTAATAAAGTATTTGCTCACCTTTGGGAGAGTTGGAGTTAGTGCTGGTGGGGCTTATGTAACTCAGCTCAAAGGCTGGCTCAGAGCCACCTTCTGTTGTAGGAGTATCCTGAAAACATCAATTCAAGTTAACAGAGTCATTAAAAAATTAAAGTGATCACGAGTCAACTACAAAAGCAAAACAAAACAACAACAAAATTTTGCCACGGTGAAGGTGCAGGATCATCTCTGGGGCGGAAATAATATCTACTCTGGGATAAGTACCTCTGAGCCACCCTGGGAAATTCCTAGTTGGTTAAACTCAGAAGACAAACCTGACAACTCAGCAGAAACCACATAAACAGTAGCAGAACAAATGGAAAAAGAGCTAAAACATCAAAGGCAGAAATGTAACCATCACAAGCGGGGTTTTTTGGCCTTATTACCCCATCGATTAAGTCCTGACAGATTTTGCATCACATAGAGAATGAGCAAGGAAGGGATCGGTGTTTCCATAAACAAAAGGGGGAAATCAGAGAAAATTTCTGATTGTTTTACAATTACATTATAAAAATGGCCAGAAACAGATGCCATTCATAACTAAAGAGGAGTTTCATCCTCTTTATCTCGGTAAAGGCATGTTACAGTTTCAGCGTCTGCTGGAGTCTTGACATTTTGAGTGACACTACACAGCAACACACCGGCCCTCAGGCAAGCCTCATATAAGGATAATAGGAGCGACTACTCGTTTTAGTGTCTCCAAGCAGGTGTAATACTCTCACGGCACTTTTAATGCTCAGTAGTAGTAGAAAAACTAAGTACCATTTACATTATCAACAACAGCCATTTGGACACCCATGTACCTGACTGGTGGAGGAGGAGGCTGGTGATGTGGAGCTGTGTTGTGTTGGAGATCTCAACAACGTAACCATGAGCTCGTGAGTAATCCCGTGTTTGTCCAGCCCAATTTTAGAGGAGCTGAGGAAGGAAGACGATTAACAGTTTATCACTGAACATCAGTCTTGGGGCATTGATAAGTGCAAATATTAGAGATCTGTGTTGGAAATTCAGATTGTTAAATATGCCATGAATAAAAAATAAATAAATAAATAGTAAGGGAAGTTTCATTTCTAAAACGTAAAATGCAGTCAATGGCACGTTTAATACATCAGTACCTTGATGGCTGTGGAGTTGCAGGCTCTTCATTAACGGAGTCCGTCCAGTCTGTTGGATCAAACTTCATTCTCTGTTTTGTGCTTGGTTTGTTCTCATACGTCCTCAGCGGCTTGACGGCAGTCTGCAGGAAACAACCAGGATTAAATATTACCATTAACATGACAATATTTGCCATGGAGGGGAAAAACATAATTAATTTATTTAACATATCAAATGGCAGACACCATTGCATGGAAAAACCTTTAAAATCATCATTATCTTATTATCAGATGTAAAAAAATGGACCCGTTTCCCATCACACTCCAACATCTACAAGATTTCTGTTTCATTTCACTGTACACCAAACTAGGCTGTAAGTATCTCTCTGAAACCTCAACATTCTCCACGACATCAAGCGACACTTTATTAATTGAAATTGTGCGCAAGAGCCTGAAGAAAGTTACTCTTTTCTTTAAGAGTCAGCTGGAAGGTAAAAATTACTCCAGTGTAGTTTGTTTCTGGAATATAGAAATCTTTTCACGATTTTAAGAAAAGCGAATCTCAAGAGATGAGATATTCCAGTAATACTTAAATGTACACAAACCTTTTCAGGTTCTTTCTGCTGTTGGTTTTCTGCCAGAGCACCCTGCGGCTGCTTTGATTCTTTGCCCTTTGTCTGCGGTAGGACGGCTGCAGACGGCCTGGTTGAAGACTTTGGCGCAGTTTTCTTGTACATGGATGTAGGTTTCTTCCCTGTACCGAAGAAAGCAGCTCCAACAAATATCTTCGGCTTAGGCTTCAGGTTGCTGAAAGTGATGGTGATTGCTTTCTTGGACTCTGTGGGTTTGTTGCTGGTAGGTGCAACGGTAGGAGGATGAGTCGGTTTAGCTGCGACACTGCTGAATTAAATAGGGAGAATTAGAACAACCTTAAAAGACCAACTAAAACAACAGCTGTTTGAAGAAGGCTTCAGAAGTATCAACAGCTATGACAAACCTGCTGCTGGGTTTTGGTTGGGACAGCTTGATCCTCTTTATCGATGTTGAGTAGCTTTTGGTACCCATCTTCCCCCCTTTACTAGATCCTGCTACTTTTCTTGGCTTACTGCCTCCCTTAATGTTCTTTGTTGTCTTCTTTTCTGGCTTTTGGGTCATCGTAGGAGAGGGTGGAGCAGCTGGACAAGGCAGAGAGTCCTTCAGTGCTTTCCTCTCAAGTGGAGTGAGATAGACTGGATTCTTTTTGCCATAGAAGGAGCTCGTGACCAAGGAAGGTTTGAATGGAGATTTTCGGGGTGATCCAGCTGGAGAGCCTTTAAAAATAAATAAATTAAAAATAAAATATCATATAAATAGATAATAGATAAATAAATCCAAATTATTGTAAATGCACGAGGAAAAACAATTGTTGTTTGCATTGTTGTTTGAACAAATAAAAATTACAAAAGCATTTCTATTGCAACAAAACATGTTTAGTCCATCCCACCTGCTGGTCTGCAATGAGATTTCTGTGGCGAGGTGTCCAGACAGCCAGCTGGCTTCTTCCTGGTAGGAGACTGCTGAGGCTTTCTTGGAGACCTCCTCTTTACAGGTGACAACTCCCGCCTCACCCCCTTCTTGGCTGGGTGCCTGATGTTTGAGAAACAAAACAGATGAGACAAGCGATGGGTGAATTTGCCAATAACTTGTAACTGGCAAGTTTGAGCCCATAAACTTGTCAGGAAATTGTTTACTGAGGTTACAGAGCAGATGATACTACTGCCTGAAAACAGGCAGCTTCTAGGTTTGAACCTTGTGGTGAAATCAGGTTTTTCTGCATGTAGTTTTCATATTCTCTAGTTTCCTCCCACAATCCAAAGATATGCAGGTTCGGCTAACTGGTCATTCTAAACTGGCCGTAAATGCAGGACTATGTGGGGTTGTTATGAATCACTGTTAGCCCTATGGCAACCTGTTGCAAGGTTACCCCCACTTCTCACTCAAGCCTGAGTTGTAAAAGCAGTTTTGCCCCATTAGTGTCAGTCTTATTATAGCAGGAACCCAATTCTAAATTTGTCGTAGTATTAAACACAAGCTTCCATAATCTCTCGACTGTAGCACAACTGAGACTATTCTCTTACATCTGAGAGTATAAGTCCAACACAGAGTACATTTCAAGAGTAAATCAGCAAGCCAAACAGCATATACACAGCTTACCTATCAGAGTCCAGGGAGGACTGCTTTCTCTTTCTGGTTGTGGTGGGCATCATCTTCATACAAAGGTAATGAAAGAAAATGAAAAAGAAAGTTTAAGAATTTCAGCTTTGAAAAAAAGACCATCGATCTGAAAAGTCACTCCTAATACAAAAAAAATAATAAAATGATTTTTTAAAAATTCATAATCAACCTGGATGTAAAAGAAAATAAAGAGATGCTTTAATCTACATTAATTACTCAAAAATGAAGAGGAATCAAAAGTAACACTGCATCTTATTTCAAAAAGAACCAAACGAGATCTGTTGCCTAGTAGAACACCAGCTGCAAATCAGCTGTACCATATTATTCATGCAGACATCTTTTGCAAATCGTAGGATATCTGGGTCACAAATCAGTATTGAAAGCAATATTCACTGCAGAAGGGTCACTGACACAAATGCAGCTTCAATATATATTTCATGTCCATGGCGTTAAATCAGGAGATTTTCTGCAAGGTCTGGTGTGACTGTGGCAGGTAAACAACAGCCCACGACCTATGAGTTTAATGATCGATTAGGATGCTGATTATGAATCTCGATATGAGACAGAGCCTAAAGGTCCCCTGACTGTCATTTCGTCAGTGAGGAAAAACGAATAATCTCGAGGGCAGCTTTAGCCTGACGGTACATGTTAGCTAACGACGCGGTCATTTAAGGGCACCAGACGGAGGCGAAGAGATAATTGGCGGGACTATTGGCTTATGCAAAGGCAGCACGGTCTCCATTACAAAACAACGGGCATTTT